GCCGGATCAGCAACGGATTTGCTGGATAAGAGGAGTACTTACGTTCGAATCTTATGAACACTGATGACTCGGCTTCAGGCCATTGTGATAGACAACCAGTCTCTTATGTGGCGAGTCGAGTAATAAATATTTTTACATAAGAAAGTACTTATTCTTGAAAAAATTAATTACCTGATCTGGAGAAATTGTTACCGAAAGGAGACAGAAATCCAATAAACCTAGAGAGAAGAAGAAGAAGAAGAAAGAACTTGATCATTTTCAAGCTAAGTCGACCTCGCGCATATCACGTGATTTGCACATACACAATTTATACGGCCTGTGAATGCAAAAGAGTGAATTTGTTTGGTTTTCAAGAGTTAATTGATGTGTTATTAATGTGAACTATTGTTGAATGCCAGTGAAAAGTGTAAGGAAAATTTTTCATGTTCTTATAATACTTCCTTATTATACTTTTTTTTTTGAATATTTTCCATTACAACTGTGCTATTTTTACCATGTGAATTCTTATTCTCCGAATTCCAACTGATTGTGCTGAAGTTATTAAATAGTAGATCAACGAAGACACTGTTTAGTCACCATATTGCCATTTTCAGTCATTATGAAAATTTTTCTTTCGGATATTCTCCATCACAACTATACTATTTTTGAAAAATATATCATCTGAATCCACATTCTTTCAATTTCAACTGATTGTGCTGCAGTTAGTAGATCAATGAAAGCACTTATTGTTAGTCATCACATTGCGATTTTCTGTCCATATAATACATTTTCTTTTGAATATTTCCCATCACAACTGTACTATTTTTGGAAAATATATAATCTATTATCATAATATGTTGATTGTTGCTGAAAAAATACAATTGAGAATTACATGAGAAAATGTACATTCATTTTAGGTATTGAATGCATATTTGTCCCCTTTTGAAAATATTCAAATTATCGATACACCATTCGAAAGTTATTGCTTTGAAAAAATGTTGCGTTGAATTATGTCCATAACTTATTTGGGTGGAAAATTGTGAAACGGTTGTGCTAGCTTGAGGTTAAGCTGGCCCGACACCATTTTTTCGCTAACCGCTTGATTTAAAAAATTCGGGTTAGTGTTAAATAATAGTTATTAAATACTAGATGATTTTCATTTGATTGTGCAAAAACGGCTGTGTCAGTTTTATATACCTGGACTTATTTTATCTGAGAAACTTCAATACCTGACCTGTGACGAAACCCATTATTCCTTGCTATTTTCTTCTTCATTAAAGTCCAATTATTTAAAAAGCCAGAAATTGACGTTACCTTAGCGCTGTCAGCGGTTCCAACCGCGACATGTTCTTTGCATCTGACTGTACCTACCAATGTTTGTCTGTGTCACCGTGGTCGCCATTCTAGATTAGAACTTTCAGATCACAGCGATGCGGTGTTGCCTTTCTCTTACCATAGCTTGTTATAGAGTCGGTTGTGGAGAAGCCGACTTTGATAAAATCTACAACGAGTAAGGACATACGTTCTAACAAGACTCCAAAATAGAAATCAAAGACATGCATGCTGACGTTGATACACAATGCACAGGTACCTCAACCAATTTTATTGCTCTCCGGGAAAGTTGCGTTTAGTTGTTTCATAAAAAGTAATACTGAACCAGCAGCTCTTGAACAAAACAAGTAAAATCGGCTCAAAAAATTATCCGAAACTCAAATTGGAATACGTGGTCGGCTGTAGCTCCTTGAGGTGCTTAGTAATCTTGAATCTACCTAACGTGACGTCATACGGGAGCGACATGTTCTTTGCATCTGACTGTACCTACCAATGTTTGTCTGTGTCACCGTGGTCGCCATTCTAGATTAGAACTTTCAGATCACAGCGATGCGGTGTTGCCTGCCTCTTACCATAGCTTGTTATAGAGTCGGTTGTGGAGAAGCCGACTTTGATAAAATCTACAACGAGTAAGGACATACGTTCTAACAAGACTCCAAAATAGAAATCAAAGACATGTATGCTGACGTTGATACACAATGCACAGGTACCTCAACCAATTTTATTGCTCTCCGGGAAAGTTGCGTTTAGTTGTTTCATAAAAAGTAATACTGAACCAGAAGCCCTTGGACAAAACTAGTAAAATCGGCTCAAAAAATTATCTGAAACTCAAATTGGAATACGTGGTCGGCTGTAGCTCCTTAAGCTGCTTAGTCATCTTGAATCTACCTAACGTGACGTCATACGGGAGCTTCCTGGCCATGTTGCATCGGTAGTAACCGTAATCACATTTTGTTTTTAGTTTCTATTTTGTAAGTGATGTGTGGTTGTTATTCAGAAGTAAACTGTAAATATTAAATAATTGCTTGGATATGATGTTTCAGCTGATTTCGGCTCATTAGCAACAAGCTTTTGTTGACTATAGTATATGTTTATTTATTTTGATTGAGGATCATCGATACTTTTTTGAAGGTGATTCGTGTTTAACCATTTCTAATTTTTCATCACATTTTGTGAATCTTTCATTTTTTGTGATTTAATGAAGAGGTAAACTGCCAAAGAATTAAGATTATTATATTTTTATGTTACGGAGAATTTAATTAAGTTGAAATATTTATTAATATAATTGAATTTACCAAATTGAATTGATATTTGTAGAATACAATTTTTTGTTTTTATCTTTATACATCGATACAGGCCTGTTGAAATAAATTCCTTAATTTCAGTCTTATAATTATCCTTTAAATTTAATTGTACATTGGTATTTTTTGTAATATAATGTAATACTAACATTTATTGCCTAATAGATTTGTATTTATTTTCATTCATAAGGAATAATTATTGATTAAGATGTTGTAAAGTAAGTTAATGTAACTAAAAATACATTTACATATCAAGGTGTTTCATTCTGTAGTAGAATCTCAAAAAACATCACAATATTAATATTGTGGAAGCATTCTCAACTATGCTTGCCAATAATTGAGCATATTAAGCGATCTTCATGAAAATCTGAAAAAAATGGGATAGGTTAAAAAAACGAAACCTGCATACTGCTTCTTTCTAGACTTCAGTTCCAAAAAAAGGGACGCACTTGATATTTCACCTATCTTCTTAAAAAAAATAGGCCGATTTTTTTTCATTTGTTGGTAGGTAATGCATTTGTCTTAAAAAAAATAAAGAGGAAAATTTTTTCAGAGCCTCCTTGATGGTGGTGGAATAACTCGAACCATGATTTATTCTTAATTTTTGACTCACCCTGTGTGTTAATTGAGTAATGGTATACAAAATGCTTACACCCTATACGAAAGAGGCTTCTTTTGCGAGCATTTTGTTTTTTTATTCATTGATTTATCTCTAAAATTTTCCGAATGACAGCTTTTTTGCTGATACCTTACGCTTATCCCACAAATTAAATTTATTGAAGGATCAGAGTACTCAAAATTGATTGGGTTGTACTCTGGTAGGATCACATTGTCTTTAAAAAAACAAATGCCGCTGCCATAGCAACTAATTTGTTGTATGCCTCCATATTTGACCATTTTGTCGTTGTGTCATTAATTAAGTGTCTTGTTTTATTGACTTGAATTACATAAAATGCATCAAATAAATCCTGAACAAGTAGCAAGATTAGTTGCGTTAGTAAACAATGGGCGTAGTAAACGTTACGCCGTGCAGTGGGAGTTCATGAAGCAACTGCTCGTAGAGCAATCCGCAAGTACGAACAAACAGGAAGCACCGCTCGGAGGGTCGGTTCTGGTCGCCCCCGAAAAACTTCTCCAAGAGATGATCGCTTCTTGAGATTGCGGATTTTACGGAATCGATCAAATACTGCGGAAAATATTCAGCAAGATCTTCGCCGAATTCGTGATGTTGCAGTGACGTCTAAAAGAAGTTAATTTGAAAGCTAGGAAACCTGCAAAAGGTCCCAAATTATTGCCCGAACATCGTGCTGCTAGAAGAAATTTTGTTGAAAATTATGGACAGTGGAATATTCCTGAATGGTCGAATGTCTTGTTTACGGATGAGTCAAGGTTTTGCCTTAACATGGTGGATAGAAGAAAAAGAGTGTGGAGAAGAACTGGTGAACGGTTTAATCAAAATTTAATAACAGAATGCGAAAGTTTTAATGGTGGGTCCGTTATGGTGTGGGGAGGGATTTCAATGAATGGAAAGACACCCCTTCATGTATGTCTTACCTTATGCAGAGTTAGTGGGCAATAATTTTATATTGATGCAGGATAATGCCCGACCACACACCGCAGCAATAATGTTAGAAGCTACTGGTATTACCACATTACAATGGCCTGCGAGAAGCCCCGATATGAATCCTATAGAACATTTGTGGGATGAATTAGGGAGAAGGGTACGTTCTCGCGAGAGGTCTCCGGAAAGTCTCGCAGAAATGGCAGATGCATTAGTGGAAGAATGGGATCGTATACCAATGGAAACGATAAGCAACTTAATTTCCATTATGCCTCGTAGATTAGAAGTTCTTAGAGTTGCTAGAGGAGACAATACACGGTATTAAGCAGTCATCCCAATTTATAATTTCGTGTTCAATAAAAATGTTTTTTTTAAATTATTGGTATCAGTTTATTTCATTAGAAAATTGTTTCTCGATAAATTCAGAAAATTGGCAATCTGCAAGGATTCAGCAAAAAAAGCTGTAATTCGGAAAATTTTAGAGATAAATCAATGAATAAAATAATAAAATGCTTGCAAAAGAAGCCTCTTTCGTATAGGGTGTAAGCACTTTCTATGCCATTACTCAATTAATTAACACACAGGGTGAGTCAAAAATGAAGAATAAATCATGGTTCGAGTTATTCCACCACCATCAAGGAGGCTTTGAAAAAATTTTCACCTCTTTATTTTTATTTGAAGACAAATGCATTACCTACCAACAAATAAAAAAAATCGGCCAACTATTTTTTTTTAAGAAGATAGGTCAAATATCAAGCACATCAAGTTCGTCACATTTTTTGGAACTGAGTGTATTTTTCAAACTCACATTATGGGGTACTGCAACTTCAGTTTTTTAAATGTCCAATATCATATCCTAAGGTTTGGAAACCTTGAGTAATTACATTTACTAATATTTCAGCATATCCTGTGGTTTCCATCTGAATAACTGAAAATATTCAAGGATTATTGAAAGAAGAGTTCAAAAACTCGATGAGATTCAGTGAAAAATTAATAGTTTCAAACTCAGAATGTTGACCCTCAGTATACCCAGGAAGAGCACATTATACAGGGTGTCCCAGAAAAATGTTCGTATACTCTGGGAGGTAATTTAACAGGTGAAATTGAGCAAATATGTTCCTATCAACATGTTTCCGAAAATGCTTCCTAAGGACGCCAAAACTCTTCGAAGGAACGTCCTTTAATGCTGTTTTCATTTGAGATTTTAGTTACTATATCGGTATTAGAATCACGAATGTTGGTAGATTGGAAGATAAAAACTTTTTAATCCTCTCCTGAAGATGCTGACATAGTTAGCGAAACACGTGTCGAGGCGTTAAAAAATCGGTTTGGTTATTGGTAAAATAGTAGTGTATATATATGAGTTTGTGAAATTTCGCCAATTTCCATCGCGGATATTTACTCAACAAATTTACATAACGTTCGAATCTACTAAAAAACAACTAAGAAATGCAAAATTTTATAATTATCAATCTCTACTTTTTCTATCATAAAAACAGACGCTCAAAATCATTGGGATTTTTTTCGGACATCATGCAAAATAAAAAATGACACTTCTGTCGAAAACAGTTCGTTTTGCGGCATTCGAACAATGTTATCTTTTTTATCTAAAAGTGCTTGAAGAATTATATTCTAGTATAAAAAAAATGGGGGCATATTTATAGCATCTATTACGAGTTTTCGCACGTCCCTGTGTATGATATTATTTTTCTTATCATTGAAAGATTTGTAAGATAAATTTCGTAATTTGTTACTAGGAAATCTGTTTTCTTATTTTTATCTGTAGAGTATACCTGCTCTTGAAGTATACGAACGGTATACTGGGACACCCTCTGTATAATCTCTTATGAGAATTTTCAGTCTTCTCCAGATTTCAATAACAACAAAAAATTTAATGAATTTTTATGATATCTTTGTATTTTGATTTATAATAAGTTTCTTATTTTGCTCTGGATGATTTTTTTACTCACGATTGTTTCCTGCTGTCGTTGCCAGCATCTTTGGTTGCAGCAACTCCGGCTGATATCCGAAAAAAGATGCCAAGTATCCCAGCATGGAAGAAGCTTGTGGTTTAGCTAGGTGTACATGTAATTTGGCCGCACCTGGTTTCAGCGGTAGATAACATCTTCCGTATCCCGATAACTGCATATTTTTGTAGACACTCAATATAATCTGGGGCCCTGCACGAGAACTTTATTTTCATTTCATCAAATTGTCTTTTTTCATAACATGCTAACTATATATAGGTGTTTTCAGTAGAGAAAGTATAGTCTTCTACTTTTTACCATTTCTTCGGATGACTCCAACAATTTGATTTGAATTTTCATTTTTGAGTATAACCTGGGGGTTTTTGTTACATTTCTATGCTAATGAAATATCCCATGTATTCAAGACATTTTGGGTTGAATATCCCGAGAATTCTTCATTTTATCAGTGGAATGTTATTATACAGGGTGTCCCGAAATTACATAGAAAGATTTCAACCACAGATTCTAGGAACAAAAATAGTAAAAAAAGTGCATATAAACATTATCCCAGAAATGCCTCCCTGAGGAGTTATAGCCATCTGAAAGAGGGTCCGAGATGATGGGTTTTTTGTAAATATTCCCGAAACCCTTTGTGTTGAGATAAGGAAATTTCGTACATGTATATTTCTTTTTATGGCCGATTCTTAAAAGTTGAGAATTTTCCGAAATTCCTATCAGGGGCGTGCGAAATAAGTGGGGCTGAAGGCATCTCTCTCTACAACTTTTTTTCCATGCAATTTTCGGCAGTATACCTATTTATTGCACATTATTATTTATGAAAACGAAAAAGACATACAATTTAATATCCTCTCTAAAATGTATACAATGTCTTCATATTTTGTGAGAAATATTTTTTCAAGATATTTATGACAAACTCTTGTTTTTAAACTTGGACACCCGCGGAAACTCGGATTTCGGAAACGAAGCATTTTCGGACCCATATGTACTTATCTTCATTTTTTCGGTAAAACTGTACTTTTATCATGCAATGGTTTTTTTTTTCGAATTTTTTTTTGGTACTTATGTATTTTGGTCTGAAAAACACGAATTTGATAATGAAAATGTGAACAAACCACTATTTCTCGAGATATTTCAAGGAAATGTTCGAACTTTCGCCTTATTTTCCCCCCAGTGTTGGATGCATTCACACTACTTGCTCTTCGATCTTATTTCGTCATTGGACACTTTATACCGGGTGGCTACGGAAGTATTGCCTACGGAATATCTCAGTTATTGTATGAAGTAGGTTTGTGAAATTTGGAGCGTCGATAGAATGACATAAGAGCTAGAATTTGAGCATATTGACATGTCGAAGTTAACTTCCGGTCTGACCGAAAGTAACATCAACTTTCTTATTTTAAATGGAAACCCTATTTTTTTTCTTTTCGCTTTATTCAGCATTCAATTCCTTTTCTAATGACATATCACAAGTTGGTATCTAACCAGAAACTAGACCAGAAAAAAATTATTATTGAAATTCACCGAGTAGCCCGTGGAAGCGTATTTCATGTCAAAAAATGACTTTTTATTATATCATTAGAAAGGAATGGTTATGCTGAATAGTACAGGCAAGAAAAATTGTATGTTCCTATTATTTAAGTTATGGACCTACAGCTAGAGTATTGTTATTTTTCCAATTTTTCCAATATATGTTTTGGCGGCTTTTTATAACGCCGACGAATGAAAATAAAATATTACAGTAGTAGCGACTGTTATCAAGTGACGTATGGTTTCCATAGCCAACTTTTCAATTTTTGGCATTCATTTTGCTTCCACGGCCTACTCGGTGAATTTCAATATTTTTTTTCTGATCTAGTTTCTGGTTAGATACCAACTTGTGATATGTCATCAGAAAAGGAATTGAATGCTGAATAAAGCGAAAAGAAAACAAAAAAGGGTTTCCATTCAAAATAAGAAAGTTGATGTTACTTCCGGTCAGACCGCAAGTTAACTTCGACATGTCAATATGCTCAAATTCTAGCTCTTACCTATGTCATTATATCGACGCTCAAAATTTCACAAACCTACTTCATTCAATAACTGAGATATTCCGTAGGCAATACTTCCGTAGCCACCCTGTATACCCATGATGTACTACAATGACACATTTGCTTCTTAATGACATTACACCCGCCATTATTTTAAATGATATTGTTCCTTCTTTTCACTAAATACGGATAAATCGCAAGAAAATCATATTTCTAGTTGACTCATTTAATATAGAAAAAATGTGTCGTTGGAGTACATTGTGATATATAAATTGTCCAATGATGAAAAAAGAAGGGCAAATTGATCTATTCTAAATGCGACCCAAAAGGCAGGCGGAAAAGAAAGGTGGAATTTGTAACTTTATATTGAAATATCTCAATAAATAATGGTTTGTTCATATTTTCATTATCAAATTCGTGCTTTTCAGACCAAAATACGTAATTACCGGAACAAATTTTCGAAAAAAAAAACCATATGATAAGTGCAGTTTTACCATATTTTGTTGACAGGAATCTGTCCTAGACTTTTGTTCCCACAACTCTGAAAGACCCAGTATACTCTATTACTTACATCCATAAGGGTTGGTTGACTTGAATTGTATCTCCAAAGGCAAGTTGAAGACGACTTTGTCGCCGTTAGTCACCACATTGGCGATCTGGGACATGCCGGCCTCCAATCCTCCGACGATCTTCCAGTCTGGTCCGAAGGACAGCTCGTACTTGCAGTGCCAAGAACTACCTGCAGGTGCTAAGATGTCTATCCACTCTATTTGGCCCGAAATGCATAGCAAAAACGAGCCGTCCGACATGCCTATTTAATAATTTTAATTCTTCCTGATACGTCTAATGGAGCATCTGTAATTTGTATAACTCTCAGTGCTCAGCGCTAATGACAACAATCGAATAAGGTTTGTTTGTATTGAACAGAGCAGTGATCATAGCAACAGTCATCAGTTACAACCACGACCTGGTTGATTGGATTTCATCCGTCAAAACAAATAGGGGGTGAATGAACAAGTGAGGTACGTAGTTTTTGAAAGGTATCAGATTAGTATAGATGTAGTTTCCATTAGGTATTAGATTAGTAGAGGGGTCAGATAATTTATACGACGCTATAAAAGCAGATGATATTTTATCATTGCTCATGTAAGATGGAAGTAGAGGCCATATGGCACCATATCATGAGCATATTTTTATATTGAAACTATCATTGGGCACCAAAGATGTGTATACGACGCTATGAAAGTTCAGAGAACTGGAGATTATTCCCACAAACTATACGTACTTAGCCCACTCGACTGTCTTGGTTTTTCCACACAAACTACGTACCTAGCCCACTCGACTGCCAATAGGGACAGAAAAAACAAAAACAAAAGAAAGTTAAAACTTTGCCAACATATTTCTTCTTTGTGGGTAATCAAGACAGACGAGTGAGCTAGGTGCGTAGTTTATGGGCAGAAAATTAAGACAGTCGAGTGAGCTAGGTACCTAGTTTATTGGCGAAAAATAAAGACAGTCGAGTGAGCTAGGTAAGTAGTTCATGGGAAAAAAATCAAGACAGTCGAGTGTGCTTTTTTTTACTTTCTTTTGTTTTTTGTTTCGTTCTCTATTGGCAAGTGATTATCTAGGAACTTGTGAATTTTTTAGTTTTTTCATCGTATCTCCCGAACTATTGAATTCAGAGAAAAATGTTATGAGGATTTTTTGTAGATTCTATCAAAAGGAAACATTTGGTTCTATCACATTTTCAGATATATCCAGTTGTTTTCGAGATATTTGGAATCATCTGAGAATACAATTTTCAACACTTTTGTTCCATCTTCCAATCAACAAAAGGAAAAAATATTTCATGGTTCAGTGGAAGTCGATGATCTTCATCTATCGATAATCTTTTGTTTTTCAATATATCTTCATGGTACCCTATGGGTCGTTCAATTTTTTTTTCATATTTTTTACTTTATTTCCTGTACTGGGTTTACAGAAAAAATTTTTGGTGATAATTTGTAGGAAATCTTCTAGTGGATAACTTTGCACTTCTGATAATTTTCGATTTTTCCATTTGTTTTCGACATATATTGAATTGAAAGGATTTCAAATTTTGGTGTTTTGATGATCATTTATTTTTCCATTTTCCGATGGATGCACGAAAAAATGGTGGAATAATAATTTGTTGCGTCATCAAAGAGGCATAAGGTGCATTTTTCAAATTTGGATTTAGTCTATTGGTTCAGGAGATATGTCGTTTTAAAGCGAACCGTGTGTTTCGTAAAATCTCCTTGAAAACCCCACTTGGAATTTCCCGACCCTGCTCAATTTCAATAGGCTTCGTCTCTTCTTGATAGAGTTTTTTTTCACAAAAAATGAAATCGATCGGACCACTTTTGCGATTTGTAGAGTGGTCACAAGAAACTTCCGTTGAAAAATCGAAAAATCCCGGAAAAACCACCATAGAGTTTTCCGATTTCCTTCATATTTTAATGACATAATATTGTTTTGAGTACAATAAGATGGCAAAATTTCAAGTCGATATGTCAAAGGGTTCCGGAGATATATCGATTTATGATTTCCACAGAGTACAGACAGACAGACAGACCACACACAAAAACCAAAGTTGCTCAAAATTCGATGGGGATCATTTTCTCCAAAGTAACTCTATACCTCTATCTCGCTTAGTTCTCGAGATAGCATTTTTGGCAAGGCCGTAGTATACTCCACTATGTATAGCGTCGTATAATAAAAAAAAAAACAGTCAACCGAAACTAAGGTTTTCCAAAAAGTTCATCAACTTTGTCGTAGGGCCTTTGAATTTGATATACAGGGTAGGGCCTTTGAATTTGATATACAGGGTACTCAGGGAATGCCCTAGTGCGGAGTAGAAGCACAGCTCCCCAGCTTGAATAGGTAATAAGTTGCAATTTTTGACATGCTCATCTGTCCTTGTGGTGGCATTGATAAATAGTTTCAATCTAGTACATCAATTTTTCGAAGGTCAATATATCATGAGAGCTCCCAGATCTGTTTCTTCCTCAAATACAAACTTCTGGCAAAACAACTAGGATATGATCGTTTGAAACACATCAAGTTCGTTGTGTTACATTTTTTTTATTTGATGAGTATAACATCTGAAGCAGAACAATTTTGAATTTGAGTTATTGTTTTCCAGTGTCAGTAATCATGATTTCTTTTTCTATCTTCTGAGAGGTCTCATTCATTTTTTACAATACATACAGCTATCATTCTTCTACTTCTTTCCATCTAGCAAATCGACAATTAGAAGAAAAGTAATGTATGAAAAATCCAAATAGCCTTTTATTGTCAGATGTTCAACATTGATTGGCTACTCATTTCATATAAATACGATATAATTATCTACAAGACTCAACAAACATTCGTGTACATCTAAATTCACTTTGAAATAAAATTACCAGAATAAAATTATGTTGTAACCTAAATAATTAAACAACAAATAATAACTAGATACCGATCGCTCACTTCTGCGCCGCCAATTCCTTCATCCGATTCAAAGCACTGCCAGCCCTGAACCACCCAATCTGCAAATCATTCAACGAATGATTCAACAAGATCTTGTCCACACTCCCATCAGCATGTTTAACCTCACACTCCACCGGTTTCCCAGGAGCCAACCCCTTCAATCCCCTCAAGCTAATCTTATCCGAAGGCTGAATCTTGTCGTAATCCTTAGCATCAGCGAACGTGAGCGGCAACATCCCCTGCTTTTTGAGGTTAGTCTCGTGGATGCGCGCGAACGACTTGACGATGATGGCCCGCCCGCCCAGGTGCCTCGGCTCGAGGGCGGCGTGCTCTCTGGAGCTGCCCTCGCCGTAGTTCTCGTCGCCGACGGTCACCCATCGGACGCCGTGGGCCTTGTAGTCGCGCGCCACGTCAGGCACGGCGCCCCATTCGCCGGTGCGTGCGTTCTTTATCTTGTTCATTTCCCCGTTCTCGGCGTTCGTCGCACTGGAAATTTCAATGTTTAGATAGATAAACTTCATTTCAAATTGTATAGGAATCGTCAATACAGTCTTACAAACTAATGGGACACATACCGTTACCACCGATAAAACAAGGCCAGCAGACTCTGACGTACACAGCTCGTGACGTCGCATACTCAGGCCATCTTCCAAGGCATTCGCGTCGATCGATCGTCAGTTTGTTTTTGTTTAAGAACGGTGGTGTAGGTAAACCGCGTGTGCTCAATTCTCTTGTTTATTCATCAAAATAATTGGCGGAGAAATTACTGTTTTGTGAAATATTTCGTGTTGTGATAGGCGAAATAACAATGCCTTACAAGTGTTGTGTTCCCTTTTTGTCGGGGGAATTATGTGGGTGGTTCAAAAGTTCATGCTTTTAGTTTCCCGTTGGACAAGGACATTCAGGTACAGTCAAATCGATGTAGTTCGTTGTTAACAGATCCTACATTCGAAGAAAGACAAATGTCGTTATCTCATGCAGAAAATGTATTCAAGTTATTAGGTGAGCGTGAAAAATATGTCATTTTAATGATGGATGAAGTTCATATAAAGCAATATTTAGATTACAAGGCAGGCAATATTGTAGGAACGGCATTTAATAATTCATGTTTAGCAAATTCCGCATTTGTCTTCATGATAGCAAGCGTTATGTCAAATGTGAAAGAAGTTGTTCATATAAGTCCAACATCAAAAATAGATCACCTCATGATTTTTTCTTTAATAAAGAGAGTTATAAATAGATTAGAGGAAATTGGTTACATAATATTCTGTATTATCAGTGACAATAATGCTGTCAACAGTAAAGCTATGAGTAATTTTGCAGAAAAACCAAAACTCAGTATTGTTTATCCTCATCCCGCAGATACATCACGTCCTGTTTTTTATCTTTTTGATTCTGTACATTTGTTGAAATGCAAGGAATAATTGGCTCAATTCACCAGATCAGAAATTGAATTATCCCGATTTTGAAACAGGGGTTGAAAGAGTTGCTTCTTTTCATAGTTTAAAAACCCTTCACGAATTAGAACATGATAAATTATTAAAATTTGGATATTCGTTGAACCTGAAGGCGCTATTTCCCTCGAATATGGAAAGACAAAACGTCGCTTTGGCACTCAAAATTTTCAATGATTTCATAGTACAGGCTCTTTTAAAATTTGGATCAAACATTGAAAACTTTGAAGGCACTGCTGGATTTGTCAACCTGATACTCAAGTGGTGGAAAATTGTGAATGTCAAAACACCCCTCAAGGGCAAACGTTTGAATGATGTGTTTCAAGAACCTATCACAGCTATAAATTTTTGTTCCGATGAAAAATTCATTTTCTTGCATAAAATGATAGATTGGTTAGAAACTTGGAAATCTGCAAATTCTACAAATAAACTAACAAACCAAACACATACTGCTTTGATTCACACTATATATGGAATGATAGAAGTTATACAATATTGTTTTAACGAACTCAAGATGAATTATGTTTTACTAGGAAAATTTCAAACAGATGATTTGGAACATAGGTTCGGGAAATATCGTCAACTTTCAGGTGGACAATATCACATATCTATTCGACAATTGTATGAATCGGAAAAAAGGCCCAGAATTCAATCACTGCTCACGCTAAAATCTCGTACTTACGGTAATATACAAATCAGGCGCTTCCACGAAAATATTGATTTCAGCGAAGAAATCATTCTTTCAATCCAGATATCATAGTCGAGGAATCTGATGTAGATAAATATAGTGATGACATGCCGGTAATAACCTATTTAGCAGGTTATTGTTGCTATATTACACTTAGAAAAATTCAGTGCGAATTTTGTAAACAGAACTTAATTTATAATGATGAATTAATAATAGAAGACAATTACACTCTCATAAAAAGTATGAGTAGAGGAAAATTACTCTATCCGCAATATTTGATTGTGCAGTTAGTTTTGTATTCCTATATTATATTCAACAAAATCATCTCTGAATTCGAGGAAATATTCTTGAATGTTCATAATAAACGGGCATTTTTAACTCAATACATTCTCAAATTTCTTTCTGAAAACGGTCATTTGCCTCGTGGCAATGAATGCAGAATTCATTCCAATGATCAAATTGCAACTATTATATTAACATGTACTACAAACACTCTACTTAAAAATTACTGTTTCAAGTCTAACGACCAATTGGGTAAAAAATGCAACAACAGGAAATTGAAAACACTCACTGGCTAATTTTTTAGGTAATAGGAATTCTCCAAGATAAATATAGGTAATTAGGTATAACAAACGGCATGTCTATCAAACTAAAATACATTTTCCCCAATTTTCTTTCGATCAATCTCATGATAAGTTTATGTTCTGCGGGCCCTGTATAAGTAGGTGTGAAGTTTACCTCTAATGAGATTGAATCACTACAATTTTTGCCAATATATTTAATTCGAATGGGTTGCTGTAGGTGGGTATTTGTGTTTTATTCTGGTTTTTGCTTTGAAACTTCGTTTTTCCATAATAAAATCGAATGGGATGCGAAGAAGGGCTCAGTTGACGGCTGACATTCTCTTTCAACCGGAAGCCCTTCAAAAAAAAGCAAAATCGGCTCAATAATGATCTAAAACTAAAATCGAAATACGCGGTCGCCTTATAGCGCTATAAGCGCTTGTCGTTTCGAGCCGCTGGTTAGGCCTGACTAAGTGACGTCACCCACGGAGCATGCAGGCCTTGTTTTATCGGTGGTGGATTATTTTCAAAGGGTTGACAATCTCATTGAAGATGGTCCTTATAGAAAACTAACAAGAAATCCATTACCTAAAATGGTCAGTCAAGTCAAATCAATTTTGAATAAATGCCCAAACCTTATTACTTCACATAACAAATATAAATTACAGATATCTAACCCAAGTGTACTAAGACTATATTGGTTACCAAAAATGCACAAACCCGGTAAGAAAATGAGGCCGATTGTATCCGCAATTGGGTCTCCTACTTAAAATATATCAAAGTGGTTGGTTGAAGTTTTCAAAACTTCGAATAATCCTTATAACAATCATTCTGTTCAAATTCGCTTGAATTTATCGAAAAGGTCAAAGGGATGAATCTGACCGAAGATGAAATCTTTATATCATTTGATGTTTCATCACTTTTTCCAAGTGTACCCATACCAACAACTTTGGAATATTTAATCGAATTACTGGAATATAACAACCTAGATCCAGATAATATTAAAGAACTGGTTGATCTCACTAACCTCTGCATGAGTTAATAGTTATTTGTTTAACTAGGCAGCAAAGTAGTAGATTGACTGCCGAGGCTGATTTCATAGCCGAGCGTAGCGAGGCTAGGAATCCAGCTAAGGCAGTCAATCTACTATGCTGTCGAGTTGAACATATAATTTTTTCTCCGATCGTTCATAATGATATATATCTCTTTATTTTTCCTGTAATGTTCAATTAAAATGAAATTTGATAGAAATCGCAGTTGTTGGATTGGTTGGTTGCTATGGAAATGTCCATAATAATTATAGTTTGACAATTCATGGAATTTCTGACAGTTGTGCGAAAAAATATCGGATTATTTAAATTATTATATAAAGGACAGTGATAGCGACCTGGAAGTACTTACACCTCCAGAAATGAGGAAGGTGGCAAAAAATATAGAGTTGAATTTGTTGCCGGAGAATCTCGGATGAAATATGAAGGAAATTATAAACGATTTATGGATTATTAATTTTGCTGATACATATCAATCAGCAAAGTAACCACTTTGCTGCCTAGGCAGGAAAAGTAATACTTTGCTGATTGATATGTGTCAGCAAAATTAATATTTGCTGCCAATCGGAGAAAAAATATTTTTCAATATAAACAAGAATTTTTTTGAACAACATGAAGGTACAGCTATGAGAAATTGTTCATAGCCTTTCCTGGCTGAACTGTTCATGAATCGATTTGAAGCGAATGCAAAAGAAAAATTTGAGAATTTCCCTAGGGTTTGGATTAGATATGTTGATGATATTTTTGCCATTTTTGATACAAAAACCACAGATATAGATAACTTTATTTCAAAATTGAATAACTGCTTCCCCTCTATCAAATTCACTTATGAATGCGAAAATGATGGCAAATTACCTTTCTTAGATGTACTTGTGATCAAAAATAGCGAAAACAACTTAGAATTTGATGTTTTTAAAAAAGAAAACACATTTAGATACAAACCTAATGACTCAAATCACTGTTTTCAGCACAAAATGGCAAGTTTAAATTTTCTAGTACATAGATTAATTTCATTCCCTCTGAGCAAAGAAAGATTCAATGCTGAAAGAAGTGTTGTTTATAAAGTGGCTGGCGTCAATGGGTATGATATCAATATAGTAGATAAATTAATACGTAGACATAAATTTAAGTTAACACTTCGAAATTCTACGACTTTTCAGGTGGATAAAAAGAACTCTAGAAGAATCCCAATCCTGTTCAATCCCAAGTATACGAAGACCGTAGAAAATTGGGCGACCTTTCACTTTTCAATAGATATTTTCACGGAAAATATTCCTCAGAAATCTCTGATATACTTCCATCACTAGCAATACCAGTCAGACGAACTTGACAGGTCTATAGAACGGCGAAACTTTGGAATTCTCTGCCAATGGAAATATTTCCAAGAACTTATAACTCCCAAAATTTCGATGTTCCACAAACATTATAGGAATTTCCTTTCGTGCGCTCCAAGTGTATAATGTGGAGATCATCTGTTATCTAATTTTTTTTGTAGGTGCTCTTTCATAATTTTCCCTGCTATAAACATACAGTGTGTCCCACTTACCATGCTCACCATGGGTATCTTTTTAACGGTGAGAGATACGAGGTCGGTTAAATGACACCAAATTTGGAGTTTGTCAAGGCCAACTATAATGTGAAAAAATATTTTGATAAAATCTATTCGTTTTTGTTTTATACGCAAAAAACAGATTTTGATCATTTTCATGTCTCCTCCGTAACTTCTTCATTTATGAAAATATCCAAATAGGAATTTCACATTCTCATGGCAGTTTTTCAAAGTGATTTCGAAAAAAATATGAAATTTATACCAACTCTTCTGGAATTTGAGATATCAGCACCAACTTTAGTTTTTCAAATGTAGGTCATAGCTCACTATGACTTAGTTACAAATAACTTTTTTTTCTCTTCCAGATGATTAGTCGCAGTAATAGTTTTGTGTTGATAACAACGGAGTTATCGTTATTTGAACAAAAACAAAAAATTATTTGGAAGCCGCCATCTCGAATTTATAAATTTTAACAGAAAAATCATGATCTCCGACCTCAAAAACCCCCACTTACCAATTTTGAATGGAATCGGACCAAATCTTGTCCGCCATCTTGGAGGAACCATTTTTTCAATTTAAACAAAAATTCCATGATGTATTGTCACTGAAATTATGAACACCTGCCAAATTCCAAGTTAATCGGAGTTATGGAATTTTTGTTGAAATAAAAAAAAATGGCTGCTGCAAGATGGCGGACGCGATTTGGTCCGATTCCATTTAAAATTGGTGAGTGGGGGTTTTTGAGGTCGGAGATCATGATTTTCTTGTTAAAATTCATAAATTTAAGATGGCGGCTTCCAAATAATTTTTTGTTTTTGTTTAAATGACGATAACTCCGTTGTTATCAACACAAAACTATTACTGCGATATAATATCATCTGTAAGAGAAAAAAAAGTTATTTGTAACTAAGTCATAGTGAGCTATGACCTACATTTGAAAAACTAAAGTTGGTGCTGATATCTCAAATTCTAGAAGAGTTGGTATAAATTTCATATTTTTTTCGAAATCACTCTGAAAAACTGCCATGAGAATGTGAAATTCCTATTTGAATATTTTCATAAATAAAGAAGTTACAGAGGAGACATGAAAATGATCAAAATCTGTTTTTTGCGTATAAAACAAAAACGAATAGATTTTATCGAAATATTTTTTCACATTATAGTTGACAAACTCCACATTTGGTGTCATTTAACCGACCTCGTATCTCTCACCGTTAAAAAGATACCCATGGTGAGCATGGTAAGGACACACTGTATATGTTTCTTGGGAATAATAAATAAGATATTATTATTATTATCAGAACAATCAAGAATTGCATTAGATATAGGTTATATTATTATATATTAAATGTTTTGACAGTTTTGTTTGATCAGGAGTTGCCAAGTGTTTGACAATACATGTCACGTTCAATGAATAAATGTGAAAAGTCGAATTCTATTCCATATCTAGATTGTATCTGAGACTCTAACCACACCTCGCACATTATTCGTCAATGCACAAAACCCCCAAATCTCCCACCTACCTGATGAACATATTGTTGGAAATATTATCCAGATGCCCTCTGTACTTCAGCCACGGCCCCGCCGCCGAAATATGATCCGTCGTGCACTTGCCCTTCACCTTGATCAGAATGGTCATGTCCTCGAGGTCCTTGCCGTCCCACTTGTCGAAGGGCTGCAACAGCTGCAGCCTCTGCGACTTCGGATCGACGTCGACACGCATCGCGCTGCCGTCAGCCACGGGCTGCACGAACGTGTCCTGGCCGGGATCGAAGCCGGCCGCGGGCAGCTCGTCGCCGAAGGGCGGGGACAGCTTGAACTTCTTGCCGTTGGCGCCTGAGCAGGGATCGGAAATTATCATCATTTTCTTAAGTACGTGTAGAAAATTCAGGAGCATGTTGCTGGCGTCAAAATAAGAAGAAAAGTTCGTATAAGTATATGTCCGAAAGTTATTCCTTTCTGAGATACAGAGGAGTGTCAAAGTTGAATTCCTATTTTTGTTTTTTGTTGATAAATTTCAAAATTATTGTGATATTCGAAAAAAGTTTGGTATCTAGGGGTATTTTTCAATGACATACCGGTCGATTCTGTTTGCAAATAGCAATATGGTTGAAGAGAAGATATTGCTATCATAGCAAGATTCGAAAAAGTGGAATTCTAATCATCGATTTTTGGCAATATGATCTGTCAATTTCAATGACATCTGGTCAGCTTTCTTGCTATCTCGGTAACATCAATTTTGTGCTTGCTATCTTATAACAAGGTAGTGGATTCTTTGTTTTTGCACTACAAATTCTTCCAAGTGTATGAAAATTCAGAAAACAGTGGATTAAAAACATATGTGATTTCACTTGTGTCACTGACTACTAGAAGAACTTTCCTCAAAGTTTCAATTTGTAGAAGAATTATTGAAAAACTTAGAATGGTGGTTACAAACATATAGGATAGGTTCACAACTGTGACCAACTACTTGAAAACCTTTTCTTGAAGTTCCAATTTATAGAGGGAATATGAGACTACAATTTCGGCATATCAGAGTAACCAGAAAACAATTTCAGTTGCCTGATGGATAGTTTATCAAGCTATTTTGCTAGAATATTCGAAAAAAAATCACGATCATTTTCATCCGGCTTTTAGGTTGTTTTCTCATTTCGGGGACATGATTGATTACTTGCACCAGTCGCACGACGACGACCAGATTCATCGAATACAGAATCTCTCAATTTTAACAATATAATTTTGTAAAGTGTCAGTGCAGGACTGACTAATTTGAGAGGTTAGATATTCATGAACTCTTCTTCTTCATGAAAAAATGGCAAAATCGATACCTAACACTTAAGAAATGAGTTGAAAACACTTGAACTTATAACCAATCTTGCAGTTACTCTGCAAACAGAATACAGAACTTCATAGCAATATTGTTATATATTATGATCATGACAATATTGTTATCTTAGCAATGTTATAACAAGATCCGAACAGAATCGACCCGAATATCAAATTTTATGTTAGTTTGTCTCTTTCGTGGGGGTGGCGCCACCTACATGTCTTTTGTGTCTTTTGAAAAGTCATAACTTTTTTGTGAGTACCTGTATCACGTTTTATGGTAGAAAAATAGATTTCTAGAACACTTTTGTGTAAAAAATATATTCTTGGTACAGGTCGCTGCGAGCAACTGTTTTCGAGTTATTGGGAATGAAATAATCAATGCAAGTAATTTGGAATGACAATTTCATTTCATTTCATTTCATTTATTCATTTTCGAATGACTATGATACATATATGTATAATGTTTATATTTAGACCATTTGGAAAAAAATGGAGGGCAGCCTAAGCGCAAATGGCTTGTTTTGTGCCAACCATTTTCTTCCTCACGGTGACAACATCAATAATTTTTATATATGGTACAACAATGATATTTATACATTTTAAATAATAATTGGGAATTATCCGGTTCAAAAAGTAGGTATAATTACACTAATAACAGATATTTCAGAGTCAGAAAGGATAAAATGGAATAATGTGAAAAAAAAAATTAAAAACACATGAACAGAGAAAATTGGTACTAGTGAAAAAGTATATATTTGTATATGTTTATAGTGGTGCATTTTTTAGAAGAGTCATAATGAGCTTATTGTGTGTGATGATGAAAATTTTTATATTAGTTTTATATGTTTTTCCTTAAATCAATTGGAAGCATGTTATATAGTTTTGGTGCGAAATAAAATAATGTTCTTTGTGTATGACTTTTTTAAAAAAGGGTACATATAAGTTATTTGCATGTCTGGTGTTTCTGTAATTAACCATGCAGGAAGTTGCTTTATTGGAGTATATCCAAATGAGGCATTGGTTTGCATATAGACTTCTGATGTTGAGTAATTTTGTCTCATTATATAATTGTATTGTATCTAACTGTTTAGGTTTTCTAAACATTATTTTGATTATTGAATTTTGAATCACTTGAATATTAGAGAAAAGAATTAACAGTTGACAAATACCATGAAACAAAAAAACTCTGGAGTCACGAGAATTCATAGCTATTATAAGGACCTAATTTGAGATCTTGAACTATCTCATCAAACATCTTTGGAAGACTGTGAGGAAATGGGCTTGTATCACAAAAAAATTTCATTTCATAATTCGATAGAACTCACCCAAACTAGCTCACCACCGCAAACCGTTTCTTGCTGTGAGCTCCTTACGTTTTATAAAAAATTATTGAAATTCCCGATTTTTCGGACCTTTGAAAACGAGACGATGATGTGACGTCAAAACCCTAATACTGAAACAAGACTATTCCAGACAGAGATGAATGATACATGATTTCTGACAGAGTGAATTAGCGCGAGATCACAGTTGAAAGAATTAATATATCAGTTGCCTCAGTCTTCGTCGGGCGTTTGGTATTTTCTTTTAACTATGGCGAGATGAGGTTTCTACGTCATAAGAGGGTCTGTTTTCAGAAGGTACTATTATTTATGTCCAAAAATAAAACATCCCAGTTGATTTTTCGATCGAATTATGTCGTCAATCATTATTTATGTATAAAAGGATCATTATAAACATGGTTTGAGTTAAAAGTTCTACTAAGGTGTACACGCCCATTGTGAATGCAAAAATGCAGGCAATTTTTAATCAAATCAAGAGCCAAATTGATAGTTTAGGTATATATTGCAACCAAAATCATAGTCAACTTCACTATTTAAAAACGCGAATCCATGAAATTGATGACAAATTGAAAGGTATTCTAAGTAGTATTGCTATTTATGAGCAAAATATGTATTTGTCGAATTTTCTGATCGATCATGCACTAGTGCCTTAGTATTTTATGAGATCAAATATAAGATTTTTAATCGGTTGAATTGTTCTTTCCATTCATTTACATTTTGCTCAGCAGAACAGGCTACTGAATCCTGACTCTTCTATTGAAAAACCAGTGCATTCTGAAATTAAATGAATTGAAGTACATAGATATACCCTTTGTTCAGTATATCGAGAAATCCTATCAATAAATTGAGTTACAAACTATGACTCCTTTACGCCAGTGAGATGAGCCACTGCTTCTTTATGAAGAGAAATACAGAGAAAGATATATGGATTTACCCTTCACCGCGGCAGTAGAGGAGAAGAACCAAAATTCATGGAAAAACATATCCATGTCTTTGTTCAACCAAACCTTCAAAGTCATTTTGAGAATTTGGGGTTATGCCTTCTGTCACTGCTTGTCATAGTTTCCGTAGTCTTATGGGTTGCGTGCAAGAACTGTCAGATGACCGACCCTGGAGGCAAAACATTGAAACACAACGTCACTTTTCTTATTTGTTTACAAGTGATCGAAATAGTTTTAATAATTATTTTGGCATATGAATCGTATTTTTCCGCTATTCATCAATTCGCTCATGCCATCACATTATGCTGTTGTGAAATGCACAAAAACTGCAGCGGAAGACGAAGTAATCCGGTTGGTACATTATGATCAAAAGTAAGTACCCACTATAGTCACTCACATATAGTTATCATTTTTGAAATTTGGTAATTTCTCTGATTTCTCATCGGAATTCCTTCTGTAATAGATGCTAATAGAAATACACCTGAAATTTCTAAAACAATGCAAGAAGATTGGATTCATGCAATCAATCCGGAGGACTGGTCTGACATGCTGACGATCGTGTGTGTTGTAGACATTTTCAATCTATTAGCAGTATTAGCTTGTATTGCAGAAGTGGCAGAAGGCAGAAGGAATTTTGATAGGGAATGACAACATTTCATAATGATAACTATGTGAGATTACTATTTACCTGAAAAATCATATTCTTTAGTCTCTTCCTGCATTTTTTTGTGCATTGTACAACAGCACAATGCGAAGGCATGCTCGAATTAATGAATAGCGCAAAAAACACGATTCGTATGCCAAAATAGTGGGAAAAACTATTTCAATCCTTTGATTCCTCTGTAACCAAATAAAAAAGTGAGGTTGTGTTTCAATAATTCACAGAAAAATGAGGTTGTGTTTCAATATTTTGCCTCCAGGGTCGGTCATTGTGCACGCGACCTATTATATCAAAACTGTCAAATACATTCAGGGACTCTAGGTATATCTAATTGAAGAGATCCGCTTGGTCTTCCTTGTCATCCTCATGGAATCATTGAGGCAAAACACATGTTGTTGCTGTTCTTTATTACCCCAAGAAACATATTTGTTTATAATAGGGATACATAAACATATGATATATATATATATATATATAAAACAATAAAAAAAAACTAATTAACAAGTTATGTCAATATAACATAATAATTAAAATAAAACCATTCCAAGTATTCAAATGAGAATAAATTGCTCCGTTTATTGTGTCATGAGTATATATTTTTTCATATTGACTTTGAATCTTGATTCATCATCAATATGTTTCAAATCATAAGGTAATGAATTATATAAAATGATTCCGTTTTAGAATACTGATTGTTTGCCAATGATGGAGTTATATGGGTTTGCTATTAATGAATTCAACTGTCTCGTTGCATGAGTATGAATTGTATTTACTTCAGTAAAGTTCAAGTTGGATATTTTTATTTTTTTTTCTCACAAAATGGATGAAAGAACAAATTTTCATTTTATATAAAGATGATAAATTCAACAGATTTTTTGGTTTGTAAAGATTAATAGTTGGTTCCAGGTAATGTAAATTGTAAATGCACTCAATTGTTTTATTTTGTAATTTCATTAATGGTTTCAAATGTGATATACTTGTGCTTCCCCAAATTGATATTAAATATTGTAATTTTGAGTAAATCAGACAGAAATATATATTCTTCAAATATCTAAGAGGAATGAAATTTCGAATTTTGTATAAAATGCCAGTAATTGGATTGAGCTTTTTTCTCAGGTGATCTATATGTTTAGTCCACGATAATTGTTCATCAATATAAAGACCTAAGAATTTTGTAATATCTAAATATTTTATGGCTTTCTGGTTGAAAAATATTGTTGTTTTCGACATATCAGTTTTTCTTTTTGAAATATACATATACGTAGATTTGTCATAGTTAAGGGTCAGCTTATGAATTTGTAGCCAAGATGATATCATTTTCAAGTCACTCTTTATATCATCAACTATATCGTTGAATTCTTTAGAGGAATAGATTATTGTAGTATCATCTGCAAATAACTTCAGATCTCCTTTTAGTTTCAAAGATGATATTGAATTGATGTAAATTAAGAATAAAATTGGACCTAAAACAGAACCTTGTGGTACACCACATTTGATTTCTCTTACGGAGCTACAAATAAAAAGTCTATGACTAAATTCCGACTAATTACCTTCCAGTTCGTCGGTGAGCGGATTAAAGTCCAATCGGCCGGCAATGCTGAGCGCCGTCACCAGCTCGGGCGAGGTGACGAAACAGTGCGTGGCAGGATTTGCGTCGTTGCGGCCGGTGAAATTCCTGTTGTACGACGTCACGATCGTGTTCTTCTCGCCTTTTTTCACGTCCCGCCTGTCCCATTGGCCGATGCAGGGACCGCACGCGTTCGCCAACACCTGACAACGTTTCGAATGAGGGATGATTCCAGTCGATGTGTGTACAGTCGTCTTCAGAGAACATGTCGCACATGGACGGTGTCAGCTGTCTTAATCACCGCTGCAATAAGAGCGCTCATACCGTCCAACCGCGACATGTTCACTGAACACGAGTGTACAGGCTATCCCATTTTGATTGAAGATAGAGCCTCATTGTTTCCGTTTATGAGATACAGTGCGACTTACAGAATTTATACTTTTTGAACGAAGTTATTAGAAATAAGGTTGTGCAAAGAACTTTGTTTTTGTCAATTGAACACCTGCATTTTATCATTTCGTTGAATTCGTTATTTTTTCCCTTTGAAATGGCGTATAATACTTTATACATAGAATTTTCAGAAATGCTAAAGAGTACTAAAACATTAAATTATGATAATTTCTGCTAGTTGGCCATGGTTTTCTCATGTATTACTTGAAAGATTATTATGTGTGGTTTATTATACATAATACTGATTGAGTATTTTTTTATTTCTTATACAGTGCTTTTCTTCAATGTCCCCCCCTTTTATTTTTCGAACGTGTCAATTGAAAAAATTTAAACTTGGGATAATGAAATTGATGCATGAATATTATATTTTGAAAAAAAAATGACAAATGAAAATTTCAAGATGGCGACTGGGAGTCAACAATGAAAGACAGAATTATGAGAAGATAATCAGAACAGAGTTGTATTTTGCTCGACTATTTCACGTTCACGAAGTATAAAAGCATTTATTAATAATGAGTGAGCCATTCTGACAAGTACATCCATAATTATTTTATGCCAAACTGACAGAATTTGCTAGGCTCTCGATGGTTACATGGTTGAAAACATGAACGCTCAGACCAATCAAAATTGAAAGACAGCACATGTCGTTTTCGAGATAAGCAGTTTATATTATCGATATTCTTTTTAAGTACCCGAAAAGGAACATTGTGCGTGCTACGGTAGAGAACGAACTATATACTACATTCCAAATGAGCAGATAGTAGGTGGCGCTTCTTCTGAAGGAATAATAACACTGACAAAATAAATATATGACGCCTAATCCAAAATTATGGTAAAATTTTAATGTACGAAATTTATGATGTGGTCATCTTCCCATAAAGAAAACTACAACCGTTACGCCACGTCGTAAGTCATAATATTAGGCAAGTATAATATTATTGCCTCCGATTTTAACCAAAGGAAGCGAAGGTCAACGACGTCCAATGCTGTCTTCTGAGTTGCAATGGACTAGGAGTGGGCGATTACAATTCACAATCGACGGATATTTCGAAAATTATCGAAATTCATCGAGAACTTTATTGATGATTATCGATTTCGCATCAGAATTCTGAATCTTGAACCAGCCTGTATTTGTTCCGATTAAACACCATTAAATAGTGAATCAAATGTTCAGATAGGGATATGTGAGCCGTTTTGACCGATAATGAATAGTTTCCACATAAAAAAATTCTAAAGTTGTAAAATCTCGATTTTGAACACCCTATATCTCTGTAATCATTTTCGATAGACCCCAAGTGTGATACATCGATGAAATCAGCTGTTCAGGGAGAATTTAAAAATGCGATAAAATACAGGGTGTTCCATATGAAATATCAATGTTGCTACTACTTTCTAGTAGAAGCGGCAACACTGCATTGTCGATATTTTAAATGAAGAGAGCGCATTGTGAAATATAAGCATGCCCATTTTCATGGATTTCTCCCGACTAATTCTCGATATAAACATAGTGTAAGCTCGCCGTGACATACCCTGTATATCCGGGAAAAAATTACCCAGTAATTTTATAAAAAGTGACAATTTGTTACCTGTCAACAGAGATGAAATACCTATTACTTTTGTCCTGTCACAGAATAGTATATTACGTAATATGTGCTGTAAGAAGCATATAACGCACGAATGGAAAAGTAATAAGTAATTCCATGAGTGCGTAATTGCTTTACAACACGCATTATGTACTATACTATACCTACTGCCATATAGTACATCAAAAAAGTTTGGACAAACAGTCTGAATTATAATTCTTAACAGTTATTTCATCCGCTGTTGACGGCGATTACGCGATCATGACTGGCGGAGTAAACGAAAAATGTGCGATGTGCTTACTGTGTGTAAAGAGCTACTTACTGAGGCTGTATCTCATGTGTTCTTGCCTACTCTCTATAGTGGCCGTAGATAAAGATTTTAACGTGCACCTAGATGGTTTTCAATGTAAAATAAGCAATTTTTGATATTTAGATATTCTTTGCATCTACGACAGAAATATATTTAGATTCTGAAACCTTGACATTTAACGATTTCAACGTGCACCTAGATGGTTTTCAATGCAAAATATGCAATTTTTGAAATTAGGGGAGAAAAATATCCAACTCTTGGATCCACGACAAAAATATGTTTACATTAGGAATCCTCGTAACAATTTATGCGTCTGTATGCTTACTGTGCGTAAAGAGCTACTTACTAAAGCTGTATCTCATATGTTTTTGCCCACTTTAAATAGTGGCTGTAGTTAAAAAATATAATTCCACTTACCGTTCCGCCGAAATCGCTCAACGTCTTCGAGATTCCGTCCCTCTCGATGGTCGCCCGGATCTGCTCACTGCCCGGCGTCACGTTGAACGGCACCTTCGACTTGAGTCCGTGCGCCATGGCCTCCTTTGCGATGCTCGCGCACCTGCCCATGTCCTCGTACGAGCTGTTCGTGCACGAGCCGATCAGCCCAACCTTCGATCAGATCAAAAAATAATAGTTTATTGATCTTAGAAACACGGAGTTTATAGACAGTCACGAAATTCGAGATAAGTTACCTACAACCTACAAGAGCAAAGTTCATTGTTGGACGATGACTTTACTTTGTCACAACTTGTCTTGACATGCATCATCAGATACTACAGGCACGAATTCAATACTATACTCGAAACGTGGATCCCGTGCCATATATATGCAATGCTACGAATAATCCGTGTGGTGAGAATATTCTACCTGCATTTACAGATTAGGTTTATTCAAGGATATTCGAATTGTAGTTTCAATATAAATACAACTACAAAGTGACCCATTTGTGTATTCCATTGAATCGATGAATTTATTTGGACCAGGTGTCAGCCCTTATAGCAAATACCGCGCCAGTGCTAGGTATAGGAAAAAGAAGTGGAAAATGTTAGGTTAGTGAGCATATCAACAAAAATGATAGCGATCATTCATTTCTCTCCATATTCCACTGTGTTAGGCTCGGTAATCAAATGACGATGAACAACGTAGTTGTGTGATAAAAAAAGTATTGCTAGCCGTGGTTATTCAAAAACAAGTTATACAATCAATCAGAACCCAAGAATTAATGAAATATTGATCAAGCAAATATGTGAATCTTGAAGACATTCCTGAAGAAAACAAAAATACTTAACTATAATATAGTGTATGTATAGAATAGAATATAATAGAATACAGTGTGACTCCCACTTACCATGCATACCATGGGTATCTTTTTAACGGTGAGAGATACGAGGTCGGTTAAATGACACCAAATGTGGAGTTTGTCAAGGCCAACTATAATGTGAAAAAATATTTTGATAAAATCTATTCGTTTTTGTTTTATACGCAAAAAACAGATTTTGATCATTTTCATGTCTCCTCCGTAACTTCTTCATTTATGAAAATATTCAAATAGGAATTTCACATTCTCATGGCAGTTTTTCAAAGTGATTCCGAAAAAAATATGAAATTTATACCAACTCTTCTAGAATTTGAGATATCAGCACTAACTTTAGTTTTTCGAATGTAGGCCATAGCTCACTATGACTTATTTACAAATAACTTTTTTTTCTCTTTCAGATGATATGGCACAGTAATAGTTTTCTGTTGATAACAACGGAGTTATCGTCATTTATACAAAAACAAAAAAATACTTGGAAGCCGCCATCTTGAATTTATAAATTTTAACAAAAAAATCATGATCTCCGACCTCAAAAACCCCCACTCACCAATTTTGAATGGAATCGGACCAAATCTTGTCCGCCATCTTGAAGCAGCCATTTTTTTTAATTTCAACAAAAACTCCATAATTTATTGTCACCGAAATTATGAACACCTAGAAAATGTCCAGTTAATCGGAGTTATGGAATTTTTGTTGAAATTAAAAAAAAATGGCTGCTCCAAGATGGCGGACAAGATTTGGTCCGATTCCATTCAAAATTGGTAAGTGGGGGTTTTTGAGGTCGGAGATCATGATTTTTTTGTTAAAATTTATAAATTCAAGATGGCGGCTTCCAAGTATTTTTTTGTTTTTGTATAAATGACGATAACTGCGTTGTTATCAACAGAAAACTATTACTGTGACATATCATCTGAAAGAGAAAAAAAAGTTATTTGTAACTAAGTCATAGTGAGCTAAAGTTAGTGCTGATATCTCAAATTCTAGAAAAGTTGGTATAAATTTCATATTTTTTTCGAAATCACTTTGAAAAACTGCCATGAGAATGTGAAATTCTTATTTGAATATTTTCATAGCTAAAGAAGTTAGGGAGGAGACATGAAAATTATCAAAATCTGTTTTTTGCGTATAAAACAAAAACGAATAGATTTTATCAAAATATTTTTTCACATTATAGTTGGCCTTGACAAACTCTACATTTGGTGTCATTTAACCGACCTCGTATCTCTCACCGTTAAAAAGATACCCATGGTGAGCATGGTAAGTGGGACACACTGTATATTACATCCATGGTATACAAGTTATAGACACGTCGTACAAAGAAACAAAAAAGTTACAGACAAAAAAGTACAAGTGATAATAGTAGATTGTTTTTTTAAGATCAAAAGTGACACTTTGTTTGACAAGCGAATTTTGCATTTGCGAGACGGAGCGTTTAGCGAAGCCGAGCGAAAGCAAAATTTGCAGTGAATTCATTCCGACAAGAATCTTTCTCCAGCATGGGTATGAAATGCCAAAGCTGCTGAAATCGGAAACAAATCAGGTATGCGTCCCAACCCAAATTGTTTATTCTTGATGACCTAATACATACCTATTTTTGTGTCAGTGATAGAAACCTCAATTCAAGTGCTAATTTTGGTATTAAAATGGACGACTTTGTGTCGGTTGCAGAAAAAGAGAAATTGTACAGCGACATCTATTATAATAAGATGTAACAAGAACCTTGCATCGCGATTTTCAACTGTTCATTGTCGTCAAGTTTGGGCAAAACAAAGCGCATCAGTGCAAACAGCATACTGACTTATAAACATCTTAGTCGAAACTAACCTTGATGTCGACGGGCCAGTTGTTTTTCTTCGCTTTAGCGCCCAATTGGCTGATGGGGTTGCCGAGATCGGGGGTGAATGGGCCGTTCACGTGTGGCTCGAGAGTGGCCAGGTCGATTTCGACCAGCTGGTCGTACTTGGCACCTTGAAAGGAAATCGGAGAGATGACAATCAATAGCAAACACTCAAAGTCATTTCCAGTGGACATGAGGAATAATTAGTTGTAAATAATGGAAATATTCCATGTTTTATCAAAAACTATTCATGGTTGGCAACAATAGACATATTATGACATATCTCCAGTGTTACCACCTTAAGGTATTGAATCATATTTGCACTAATTTAAAATGGTTGCTGGCAACTTCAATGTTGTTCCTGTCAGAACAGTTCATGGGGGCTAGAAAAAATGTAATAAATCGACATCTTGATTATTGTAACCTATAATTAGCAATGTAAATATATAATAACAAAATATTTCACTGTGCCTCAGTCAGAATCGGAAGAACTATATGTCCAACCTAGTGGACGCCATACATTTCATGACCTGGTCATTTTACTTTTCGTTTCTAGACTGTTATTTTTGATGAAGTGGTTGTTATTCAAATGAATTTCAAACAATTTTCGAAATCCTGGAGGATTTCAAAATTATATTCTGTATTTTTTTCCAGAAACCAAGTCCGTTCCAGAATGTATTTATTGGATAATACCTTTGCCCAACCCCTCTGCTGCTATATAAATATGCAGAAAAAAATTGATTTGAATACTTTTGGTCGAATGTAGAAGTAGGTAGTGTGCCACGACGAAATCGAAGAAATATTCATCAGAATTTTGTTTGATATTTCTCTCAAACTTTGTTCTCTCTCCGGCTCTGGAATTTTTCTTGCGATACCATAGACAATGACGCGAAATCCAATGTTTTTCTTCAACCAAGAAAGTTCTGAACTCGCCTAAAGAAGTTTTCACTTCAATAACAAATATCCAAACTAACACCACGTGGCACTTCGAAGGCGCAAATTCATTAAAACATGAGAGATACCCTTCAGATTGGTTGCTATTCAGTGACTTGACCAAAGCGTTCGGTGACGTGACGATGACGCGAATTTCAATGTTTCTCTTCACCAAAAAAAGTTCTGAACTCGCCTATAGAAGTTTTCACTTCAATAACAAATATCCAAACTAACATAACGTGGCACTTCGAAGGCGCAAATTCATTACTACATGTGAGATACCCTTCAGATTGGTTGCTATTCAGTGACTTGACCAAAGCGTTCGGTGACGTGACGAAGACGCGAAATCTGAGTTTTTTCTTCAATAACAAATATCCAAACTAACATCAAGTGGCACTTCGAAGGCGCAAATTCATTACTACATGGGAGATACTCTTCAGATTGGTTGCTATTCAGTAACTTGACCAAAGCATTCGGTGACATGACGATGAAGCGAAATCCAAAGTTTTTCTTCGCCCAAAAAAAATTTTAACGGAGCCTAAAGAAGTTCCGACTTCAAAAACCCACCTTGATCGGGGGTGAGCAACACCTCCCTGTACTTATCCGCCTCCTTGGCGATATCCTCCCTGTTCGTCGCCTTCAGGTAGTCGTACATGCGCCTGTTGTAGGGGAACAGCGACGTCGTGGCGCCTATCTCGGCGCCCATATTGCAAATGGTGGCCATTCCCGTGCACGAGACCGAGTCGCATCCGGGCCCGTGGTACTCGACTATGGCGCCGGTACCGCCTTTGACGGTCAAGATGTCGGCTACTTTGAGGATGATGTCCTTGGGAGAGGTCCAGCCGGACATTTTACCTAGGAAAGTTTTTGTGACATTGGGTGATAGGTTTTTGAAATTTCGTGAATGCTCGAGAGAATGTTTTAAAATCTTATAAATTCTTCCAAAATGTTTGGAATGCTATTGAAAAAGATGGATTCGAACCAACAACGAACGGCGATCTCTAATAGTGAGTCGATCGCTGTACATTGTATATAAAATGTACAACCATATTTTATGGTTTCCATATGTCTTGGAATACCTTTATTAGTCATTTTAACTGAAGTATCATCAATCCATCATACTATTTCCTTCATTTATGTCTTATATTAGCCTGTTATTATTGCCATATCATTTGTTAATTCAACTATAGTTATTACCTACCACTGTATAAGCAAAAATGTTCCATCTGAAATAAAATTATGTTTTTTCTGTGACGGGAAAAAAGTTTGGCATTTCATCTCTGTTGGCAGGTTATAAAATGTCACTTTTCATAAATTACTTTTTTCCCGTGGGAAAAAAGTGAGTACTTCTTTCCCGGATATATATCACATATATATACTCTGTTAATGGCTTTTGTTGTGCTATAGTTCCGAAAAATGAGTCAATAATACCGTCTCCGAGAAAGAACTGCAAGTCCTTTTATCTTCCATTCGACTTCGTGGTTTCGTATATTACTAAACAACTACTGAATTCGCAATTTTTTGAAATCAAATCACAGAATTGAACTGACAGAAGTGACATCAGATATTTGATTACTTCAAAAGAATGATAAAGATGCCTATAAAACGCAGGTGTCCCTATTGTTAAAAACTTGAAATTTTATGTCCATAATTTTCAGATTTCGAAATAATGTGATATCTTCTCAATATTGATTCGTCCTTCCTTCTGTCACAGAAAAAAATAGTGTATTATACACGGGAAAAATATTAGATTTTAGCTCACGGTTTTTTGTCTCCCTCCGCTACGCGTCGGGAGACAACACAACCTGGAGCTAAAATCTACTACTTTTTTCCCTTGTATAATAAATAACTATTTATTGGTTATTATTTATCAAATATTTTGACCCCATTCTGAACTATAGTGCAAGAAAAATTATTCAAATGCAATACTGAACGTAACTTTCCTCTCAGTTCATTATCATTTCATAGTAATAGTATATGTACTTTGATGTACAATTGAATATACCTATTGGCCATCGACCTCCATAAAGTTTCTTCAGCCCAATCATTTTGTATTTCAAGAAGAACTAATTTTCTAATTAATTTATCGTACCTCTTTTCCCACTAGTAGAGATGCTATGTACTTTCATTCAAAAATGAAATACAAAGAAATATACAGGCTGATTCATTCTATCGACCTAAAATTCTCTCAGCGTTGCGACGTTGCCGCTTACATTGAAAAGTAGCAACAACTTCGATTTTTTAAATGGGACACCCTGTATATTATCCCATTTTCAGATTCTCCCTGAAGATCTGATTTTATTGATCTTGGGGTCTAGCAGTAATAATTACAGAGTTATAGGATGTGAAAAGTCGAGATTTGTCAACTTTAGGAATATTTTGTGTCGAAACTATTCATTATTGGTCAAAACGGTCTTCATCTTATCCCAACATTTAATTATGCTTAGTTTCGACACAAAAAATTCCTAAAGTTGAAAAATCTCGATTTTTCACACCCTATACCTTTGTTACCATTCCCGCTAGACCCGAAGTGTCATAGATCGATGAAATCAGCTCTTTAGGGAGAATCTGAAAATGAAATTATATACAGGGTGTCCCAATAAAAAAATCAAAGTTGTTGCTACTTTTCAATATAAGGGGCAACGTCGCAGTGCTGAGAATACTTCAGGTCGATAGAACACAACTAATTGTCCAATGAACCAAATTTTCAAAATAATCGTACGTTGCGTTCTCCAGAAACCTCTAATGTACCATTCACAGTGAATCAGCCTGTATATGGATGTACTTTTCCCTGAAAATGCAGAGGAAGGAAGATGCGACAAGCCTTTATTTAAGCATGTCCAGTACATTCAGGAACTCTATATATTGCCACATATCCCCGAAATGAATCAAAATGAATAACGCGTCAGTCTGTGAGACAGTAGGTACCTACCTATTCCTTATTCCCTATCTACTATTTCTATTCTGCAAAGTTTTTGATTACAACAAAATTATTATGATGTATGTATGTCAAATACCCTTATTTGTCAAACATTCCACTACGCATTCGATGTTCTGACACCGAATTTCCAGTGCCACCAGGATGATAAGAAATTCCACACAATAGTCAATGAAACGGCGATTCTGTCCCACTGGTGACACTAAAACGCAACTATTTTGAAGAGGTAAAGTTTGTGTATATGGAAGATTCATTTTCTTCAAAGAAGAAAACATATCTTGTGGTGTGCTCCAGGGACCAATTCTCGGACCTATTTTATTACTGAGTCATATAAATTCTACTACTAGGGAAATTGAAAAGACAAAGAGCTGAATATATGTCTTATTCTTTCATTCCCTCAAACCATTGTAAAATAGAAAATAGTAAAGGACAGAAATTCAGCTGTGTCCGAACTCTCATCTACTAAAACCATCCAGCGACTTTATTTCAACTCACCCGTCAGTCTGACGCCGATAACTTTCGGGCACTTCAGCTCCCACGGGATGCTGGCCATGACGTCGACGGCGTCGGCGCCGCCCACGCCGATGCACAGGCCGCCGAGACCGCCGCCGTTGGGGGTGTGCGAATCGGTGCCGATCATCAAGAGGCCGGGGAAGGCGTAGTTCTCCAAGATGATCTGGTGGATGATGCCTGAGTGGAAAAAAAAACAATTCATTAGAGCACATTAGAGTGACGGCTCGTCAGGGACGGCCGGGCCGTACCAGAAAATTTGAGAAAGAAAGAAGAAGACGAAGAAATAACGTTTATTGTCCAAAGGAGTTATTCTCATTAACAAAGCTTGTTACTTAAGATGAATAATAGTTTAATATGCAACAACTGAGTATGACAATTGTTGGAAATAACCATCTTCACTTGAAAGGCATGCTTCCGCTCGTCTACACCTCAAATTAGTCAAATTTCTATATCGCTACTTCAAAGTTGGGCACCAACTCCCCAGAAGTCGAAACTTGTGCTGGGTAAGGAAGACCGGGACCTACAGCTTATAGTGGAATCCGAACTTCTTCTAGGGCGTCGAGGTGCTGCCAGGATTTCAACCATGAATCACACATTTAAAAGAAAAATGGCACCCCATCAAATATTCCCGGCGTATTTCGAAAATTTTGTAATATATAATATAAAACACCTCACTTGTAAAACATTGGAACACAATCTCACTTTTTTTATTTGTTTATAGAGGAATCGAAGGATTGAAATTGTTTTTCACAATATTTTGGCATACGAATCGTATTTTTTTACGCTATTCCTTAATTCAAGCATGCCTTCTCATTGTGCTGTTGTACAATGCACGAAAAATGCAGCGAGAGACGAAGGTATATGATTTTTCAGGTAAATAGTGATCTAACAGTTTTCATTATAAAATTTTGTCATTTCTTATCAAAATTCCTTCTGTCACTTCTGCAATAGAAGCTTATACTGCTAATAGATCGAAAATGTCTACAACACACACGATCATATTTCGTCAGCGTTTCAGACCAGTCCACCAGTTTGATTGCATGAATCCAATCTTCTTGCATTCTTTCGGAAACTTCACGAGTATTTCTATCAGCTTCTATTACAGAAGGAATGGGCGTGTACACCTTAGTAGAACTTTAAACTCAAACCATGTTTATAATGATCCTTTTATACATAAATAATGATTGACGACATAATTCGATCGAAAAATTAACTGAAATGTTTTATTTTTGGACATAAGTAATAGTGCCTTCTGAAAACGGACGCTCTTATGACGTAGAAACCTCATCTCGCCATAGTTAAAAGAAAATACCAAACGCATGACGGAGACTGAGGCAACTGATATATTAATTCTTTCAACTGTGATCTCGCGCTAATTCACTCTGTCAGAAATCATGTATCATTCATCTCTGTCTGGAATAGTCTTGTTTCAGTATTAGGGTTCTGACGTCACATCATCGCCTCGTTCTCAGAGGTCCGAAAAATCGGGGATTTCAATAATTTTTTATAAAACGTAGGGAGCTCACAGCAAGAAACGGTTTGCGGTGGTGAGCTAGTTTGGGTGAGTTCTATCGAATTATGAAATAAAATTTTTTTGTGATATAAGCCCATTCCGATGAGGAATCAGAGAAATTACCAATTTTCAAAAATGAAAACTATATGTGAGTGACTATAGTAGGTACTTACTTTTAAATCATAATGCACCAACCGGATTCTTACGTCTCCCGCTTAATTTTTTGTGCATTGTACAACAGCACAATATGATGGCATAAGCGAATTAATGAATAGCCGAAAAACACGATTCATATGCCAAAACACTTGTAAACTAATAAGAAAAGTGAGGTTGTGCTCTAGGGTCGGTCATCTGACAGTTCTTCCACGCAACCAATTGGATAACTTAGTTCGGAATAGAGGTTACTGGAAATGTGGTCATAAAGTGTGATTTTTACAAATTTTTTTCAATGAACAGACATCATATCTCTCGCCTATTAACTAGGTTTTTCATTTAGAAAGACAATGATTTCAAGGAACTCAGTGTTTATAAAATTAACAATCTAGTAAGAGAAAAAAAAGAAGAAAATAAAGAAAAATTAATTATTCAGTCATGTCGACTAACCTGACCCGGGCTTCCAGAACCCGACTCCATACTTGTTTCCAGCCGACGCCAGGAAATTATAAACCTCCTTGTTGAGGTCCTTCGCCCTGGCCAGATCTTCGACGCCGCCCACTTGCGCCTCGATCAGATGGTCGCAATGGATGGTGCTGGGCACGGCCACGCGGCTCAGACCGCTCGAGATGAACTGCAGCATGGCCATTTGGGCGGTGGCGTCCTGCATGGCGACGCGGTCGGGCCGCAGTCTCAAGTAGGATACACCTCGGTCCACATCCTGGAAATAGTAATTTACCTACTACTAGGGACCCTTGATGGAAATTGACGTGAAAGTTAGAGTTCCTAAATCTACTTGACACTGCTGTTTTGACGTTTTTTGTATATTAGCGAGATTCACGAAGTGGGCGACATCTAGGTTACATAATACGAACTTCAAACTGGGGGAAAACAAACTGTTGTCCATGGATGAAGTGCATAGACTACATTGCATACATCTTGCTGTAGCTGTAGTTGTCAAACTTGTAAATGGCATAAAGTGTTGGCACTGTTGGAAGTGATGATGGTTGAGTTGGTTAATTTTTTTACATTATTACATTTTTATTAGTTTAGTGAACAGTGAACGGGTGAAGAATTGGAGATAGTTCGAACAATTCAAACTTATTATGACGAGCAAATCAATGTTTACAATACCCAGATTGTCCTACTTTGCATGAACAAATACAAATCCATTGTTCTACAGGAGTTCCTCTGGACCCCAACTTCAATTTTACTTCATGTGGGGAAGATTTCATCGCCAAAGTTTGTAGACAAAGTGCAAAAATGTGCCTTTTGACTGCTTCTCCTTCCACTACTGGTCGGCTTTTTCCATCTAAATAGAGCAAAATATCTGCCGAAAGAACATCTACAACAGGCATTCTTAGCGTTTTCGATCGAATATTGACAATTAATGTCAAGAAATTTAAAAAGATCACTCTTATCAGTACACAGTACACAAGCTCATGGTACTAATGGGATTGAGTAAGGATTGAGTTTGTTTTCCCCCGGTTTTGACGTGACTTTGACATGGAACGATGAAAACCGAGCGCCACCTGGTAACATTGATTCTCGCCGAATAAGAGTACGGACACTAGACAAGCAGTGTCAATCAAACATAACCACAAACGATTTTGAATTAAATCATATGTTTTGCCAGACAAAGACAGGAATATGTTTTTATGGTTTTTAGCTTAGATAAAGGATCCTCGCATCTTTCATCCTCCACAAGTCCTGGGAAGAGTACATCCATATATCTTTCTCTGTCTCTGATTTTTGTATGAGAGTGCATAGCGTCTCCTCGAGTAGGTAAAAGGGTACGATAAATTGATTAGAAAAATATTTCTTCTTGAAAGGCTGAAGGACCTCAATGGAGGTCGATATCAAGTTGGCATGTACATATATACCAACGAAATACATATACTATTCCTATGAAATAAGTCTCTCATATGTAGGTATATATTTGGGCGGTGGCGTCCAAAGGTTAGTAAGCAATGGACTCGACACATCTACAACCAATATCACTTATACGTGTCTCGCTTGTTGCATGCAGTTGCAAGTATTATGTTCTAAATTCCCTTTCCTTTCGAATTATTTTTTTAGCAGGAATTGCAGGTATGTTAATCTAATTTTCGGAGTACGTAGAAAAAGCATAGTATGTAATGCGTTTATAAACTCTTCTACACCTTTTCCAGATGTATTTGAGAATAGTCAATTGTATTTCAGAAAGCGTCAATTGTATTTCAGGATAGTCAATTCAATTTCAGAAAGCATCAATTGTATTTCAGAATAGTCAATTTAATTTCAGAAAAGGTCAATTGTATTTCAGAATAGTCAATTGAATTTCAGAAAGCGTCATTTGTATTTCAGAAAATATCATTTGAATTTCAGAAAGCGTCAATTGAATTTCAGAATGCATCAAGATCGATTAGTGAGTAGAAAGTGCACTCCATGTAAGAATGCATAAGATGTTCTGTACTTCCTGTAGTGATGTTTTCAATTTATTCACCCCAAATTTTTTGTACCTTTTAGGTACCTATATACTATTTGATGAACAGATCACAGAATTCCAGGTATAGAGGGGATAATCAGAGATACACTTATTTCTATTGCTATAAAAAAGTTCTGATTTTTACATGTTTGTCCTTAATAACATTTACAAAATCAAGCTCTGTTGCTATGACGTAAATGTCATAATATTTTCACGACTTATCAAGTTGCCTGGCAGGAGAACACCCCGTGGAAAGTGTCTGGCAATTGTATATTCTCTATCATGATAGGATCCGGTTGAACATAAAAAGATCAGCTTTTGTTGAAATGATGTTTATGCCAGTTTTTTTTGTACTTTTAACACCCGCTATCTCTTGAAAGCTCATCCAGTACTGAAGATTTTCAACCCACAAATCCATTCCACCGAATAAGGTATACCACACATAGAAAATATCAACCTTGTTGAAATGGCGTCTGGCGGTCGCTGGCTTTCAGTCTATAGAGAAAGATTCCTGAAATTCAATTCACTATTCTGAAATACAATTATTAATGCTTTCTGAAATTCAATTGACGCTTTCTGAAATTCAAATGATACTTTCTGAAATACAATTGACACTTTCTGAAATTCAATTGACTATTCTAAAATTGATGCTTTCTGAAATTGAATTAATTATTCTGAAATACAATTGACGCTTTCTGAAATTGAATTGACTATTCTGAAATACAATTGATGCTTTCTGAAATACAAGTGATTATTCTGAAATTCATTTGACGCTTTCTGAAATTGAATTGACTATTCTGAAATACAATTGACGCTTTCAAATTCAAAATGGCGGATCTAATATGGCAGACGAGTTTTGTAATTATGATCCGTTTCTATTCAAAATTTGTATCTGGGAGTTTTCGGGGTCGGAGATTATGATTTCATTCTTTAAAATTGGGAAGTTCAATATGGCGGATCCAATATGGCGAAAGAGCTTTGTAATAAATAGTAGTTTGAAAAACTATAATGAAACACGATTTTATTGATAGCCAAATTCGAGGCCAAACTGAATAGAAGTGGAAAATTGATAGTATACACTACACTGTTTTACCACTAACCAAACCGATTTTTTAACGCCTCGACACGTGTTGCGCTAACTATGTTAGCATCTTCAGGAGAAGATTTAAAACAGTTTTAAATCTTCTCTTGAAGATGCTAACATAGTTAGCGAAACACGTGTCGAGGCGTTAAAAAATCGGTTTGGTTAGTGGTAAAACAGTGTAGTGTATTATCGTGCCAAAGGTTCCAGTCTTCGATATATTGATAGTATAGTTCAAAAAACGAGATAGATATTCACTAAAAAGAAGTAGAAAATAAAAATAGTAGTAAAAAATTTTAATGATCCACGATTTTATGGACAATCATACTAAAAAGAAGTAGAAAACAAAATAATTAAAGTGTGTTGATAAATATTGAAAAGGAATATTCTCAGATATATTTATGAACACGAAAAAATGAATATATAAATAAAGAAATACATAGAGAATTTGCATTCTCCATGTAATGAAAATATTAATTCTTTCTCGGTTTATTCAGCAGAAAACAACCATTTTCCTGTGTTGATAAATATTTAACTAATAGAATATTTCCTAGAAATAAATGTATATGTATAGCAAAAGAACGTTTGGCGTTGCCGGGTATCAACTATTGTAATAAATAGTAGTTTGAAAAACTAATGAAACAAGTTTTTATAGATAGCCAAACTGAAAAGAAGGGAGTAGAGAATAAAGAGTAGTTTGAAAAAAATGAAGAAATATAGAGAAGTAGGAAATATGGATAGCCAAACTAAAAAGAAGTAGAAATGAAATAATAAAAGTTTTTTGACAAATATTCATCTAATAATTTTTTTTCTAGAAAAAATAATGTTTATGGCAAAACGACGTTTGCCGGGTCAGCTAGTAGTTTATAGAATGACGAAAATTACCTTGGTAGTAAAACAAACTTTACACCTTGAAAAGGAGTAAATTATGGTAGTTTCTACAGCTAGTGGTGGAAAAAATTTAAATTATAAATTTTCCAAGAAAACAAAACGTTACTTTCCATCAAATTGATAAAAAAAAAATCTTTCCATAACTGGTCCTTCAAATTTTTTAGATAATTCTTCATTTTTATCACTCAAACTTTTTTGTTTGACGTAAAACCCCAGCATAAGGATTTGCAGTGGTAAAACCATTCAAACAAACGGTATTTAGATAAAAGCATTCAGATAAAATCACTCATGGAAAAGAAAATATAATTGATAAAATTTGAAGGACCATGAAATTGCCTTTGATAAATCAACTCCTCCATAGATAACCCAGTAATTTTACATTTTTGCACTTATCATATAGGACAAGATTTTTTAGATTTTTCTTGTACTATACCGGAACAGGAACTTCATAATAGAAATCTGAATAAAACACTATTTACAAAGTGATATCAAGGAACCAGTTTTAATATCTTATTTTTACACATCTGGTTATGTAAAGTAGGATGTTTCGAAATTTCCATCAGTTTTGGAAAGTATCAAATATCAAATAATCAAATTACATGTCAAAATGGAAAATGAGAGGTTTTTCCAAATTCTGTGATGAATGACAAGTTGACTTATTGAAAACTAATGAAGAATACTTCAAGAAATTTCAAGTATTGCTTAAACTGACCACAGTTTCAGCCAATGATTTTGATTTAATATACAACAATTACCTATACAGGGTACAAACTATGAAGATTTAGCCCATCATGACTTATAAAAATCTTGGGGGTTTAGGAAATACAAGGTGTTCAAAGGAAACATTTCAAGTTAAAATTTTTCAATAATTTTTACTATTAGATGTTTGTTGTTGGCGTTGATAGTTATTATAATTATTACTTAATGAAATTTATTTGTCAGTGTCTTTTTGCTGAAATTATAATTTACAATAATGAAAAATATACAGATCTTTCCAACACAACATATTTAGAGCTACACAATTTAAAAAATAGTGTATCTTCTGGGCAAAATTGAACAGATTATCAGATCTTCAACTTATTTCAACAAATATTGAATAAACAAAGATATGATGTAATTTACTGAAATAACAAAGTTGCACTAGCACCCTGTATGAGCAATCACAAAATAAGTTATGAATTTGTATTCCTCATGTCAAAAATTATGAAACTACAGAATTTTATGCTCCTGCTGTTGAAACTCACAAAGTTATTGAAAAATTTCAAAATAAAATCTTTCCATTGAAGAGGTGGTATCCCCAAAATCAGCAACATTTTTATAAGGCATGTAAGGCTTGATCTTCATACTTTGATGTTAACTATCTGTAGTTCAGGGATTGCCTATTCCTAATGAATCACTCTGTATGCATAGTTTTTGCTCAATAATTTTGTGGGAGTCAACTTGCTTATACATTACTGATGAATTCAGATGATAAATCTCTAGACAAATCTCTAACAGAAACAATTTGAAAATAGTATAGTATTATAGTTGAAATTTTGAGAAAACAGTGCTGTCTCATAGTATTTAAGGATTCATTTCATATTTGGTATGTCATCCTTTTTTGTCCATGAGGCTATATTCATTGTTTTCACAGATCAATATAATCAGCTGTCTTTTATTGATTCTTCAATAGCATTGTAACAGTAAATCAGAAAATCACAAAATCAAAATTTGAATTTTCCAAGAAAAATTTCAGGTTAATAAATATTCACATTTACTTCTTCTTTTTCAGTCATGGGACTTTACTTCACTGCATTGACACCTTCTCAGCCACTGCTCTTTGAATTTATATTGCAGGTAGGTCATCCTTTGTCTGTTTTCAGGCCTATACCCTGAAGGAAAAACAACCTCACTAACCAGTAACCTCACTTTTTTCATTTGTTGAAATAAATTGAAATAGTTTTTCACAATTATTTTGGAATACAATCCTGTTTCTTGGGATATTTATTTCAAGCATGCCATCACATTGTACTTTTGTACAATGCATAAAAAATGCAGGGAGAGATGAGGGGACAAAGAATTTTCAGGTACTCACAAAAACATGAAACAACTTGTGAACATTCTAAAAGAAAGCAAAAAGGTTGGATTTTTTGCAATCAAATGGGAGGACTGGTCTGAAATACTAATGAAAAATATGGTCAAAGAGGAGAGGGTGACTAACCATTTTCACTCTATAAGCTCCTATTGCAGAAGGAAATTCTAAAAAGCTGTGACAAAATTTTTAAAAACTATGTCAGTGACTATAGTACTTATAGATCACAATTTACCTGAAAAATCCTTATTCCTTCTTCTCTCCTTGCATTTTTTGTACAACAGCACAATCTAATGGGATGCTTTAATGAATAAATATCCCAAGAATCATGAATAAAAGTGAAAAACTATTTCCAATCCCTCCAAAACAAATAGTAAAAGTGAGGTTGTTATCTTGTGTTGTTTTACTTCCAGTCCAGGTTCTAGGGTCAGTCATTTGACTGATCTTGCATGTGACCCATAGGGCCAATTTTAGTTTGACATTTTTTTCAAGCAATAGGTAATTTTAAGGGATTCACAGCATTTTTTTATAGTGGCTCAAAGAGTAGTGGAAGAGGAAAATATGGAACTTTGAATCATGATCAAGGCCTAGGACAGTTGCTTATGGATAGAAGCTGAGCTAAAAAGAATGTTCATAACCTCACTATTGAACCTTGTCTTGTTGTGCAATACTTGATAAATGTATTATTGTTTGTGAGATGTTTATAATTCCTACAAGAACTTGTGATAAACAAAAACAAATCATTGGTATTTACTAATAAATAGAGTTTGCCCTGGGCAAAATTAAATCAAAGGTCACTTTTATAGATCCAGTGTAAAATTCAAAATTCCTCAAAAACTCACTTGTGTATCTGGCTGATCAATATGTGAATAAAGCACTTTTTCAGAAAGGGTTAGGGGTCTTCCCAATCGTTTCTTGACCACTTGTAGGGTTTTCGCTAGCTTATCATAAGGCAAAGGTTCTTTGTCCAGTTTGCTCATAGCAACTCTTGCTGCAGCTGAGGTTAAAGGAGAGACATGGAAGCATCTTGACTGTATTTCGTTGAAGAAAATGCTGCTAGACTTGCTACCCTAGAAGAAGATGAGGATAATGTCAAGTCATTTTTATTTATTTATGTAGGTTCGGCGTTCTCAGAGATATCACATGATTAATCGGCTATATAGGTATTGATTATATAACTTCGTAGGGATTAAAAAATCATTGAGAATCTTCTCTCGTGATTGTAGAACAATTTTTTTTCTACCAGAGACAATAATATTGGTAAGTACTTACTTGGCGATGCAAAACTCGCATACAGTACGCCATGGTGGCAAAAAAATCAATACAACACTACAAATTATAAAATTAGGGCAACCCCTAAATAACTTTTCAGGAATGCCGGAGATTTTTGAGTTTTGAGGAATTTGATCTGACGTTTTTTTTTCTCCTTCTCCTGAGGACGTCATTGGAGCGCATGCGCAGATGAAGGCGCAAATAAGCGCAAATCCTGACTGAATGTGTCTAGTAGTCCGGCAGCGTGAACGTACCAATGACGGCTAAATATCTAGACTGTCTGACAAGTTATTCAGACAGTCTAGATATTTCACCGTCATTGATTGACCATAATTACATCGAATATAAAGTTGATATTCTATGATAATTATCATGATAATTACGATACAGATAAGATGAATATCAGCACATCATTCAACAAGGTACAGAAATCTAACACTGAGATTTTCTTAACAATTTCATAGGTTTTTTTCGCTTGTTGCCATGGTTACATTTGATCAAAAACTGACGACACAGGTTCTTCTTCATGGAAAATCCGTAAGAGGCGCTGATATCGTCATATTTTTATTTTAATGGCTATCGGACCAAATAACAACAATCACGAAAAAAAAAAAACAGTAATGGTGTACGTTCCTTCTTTGATAGTGTTCAATAACATTTTGATAAATGAGTTTCTATTTTTATTATAGAGAGTCATCGTACAGTGACATACATCTAATAATAATAATAATAATAATAAAGCGTCTTTATTCACAATGAGGAAACAATAAATAATTACATATAAATTTTGTGAGTCGAAGTGGAATCAAAGTGAAAGGGCGGAGTGTCAGCTTACGCTGTTTTTAAACTCAACCTTGAAAATGCATTCACAATAACCAAAATTATATAGAGAAATACAAAAAGGAGTCTTAGACTATCACGTTTTTGAGAAACAACATTTTGTATACAAATCAAGCCAACCTATACTATATATAAAGAACCATAGTCTACTAGAATAAGATGAAACAAGAACCTTATATTGCGATTTTCAACTGTTTTTTGTCATTGTCGTCAAGTTTGGGCAAAACAAAAGCGCATCAGTGCAAACACCATCTCAACTTATAATCATCTCAGTTGTGGCAAAGGTATAGCAATTGTCGGAAAGAACTTTATCAGAAAACACAGGATTTGATATTTACTAACTATTTTAAAAAAAAATTCCAATACCTACCTCCTGTCCCTATCCTCCCTAGGAATGCACGATGTTCTTTGAACATTATAGGGATTCCCTTTCGTGCGCTCCAAGCGATAAAAAAAATGGGGGTGTACCAAACATCCCAGCAAACACAGATATAACACAGAGATATCGCAGCGATGTCACAATTGTGACCTGCGATATATGTCGCATAGACGTCGCTGCGATGTCAGAAGGATGTTATTTTCTCCCACTCTCCTGACCATTCAATCTTCTTTTCAGCGACGCTATTATTCAATGAGAATTGAGAATGAAATCAGTTACTCGGCATTTGTATAAAAAATTATGTAGTGTTTGTCGGCGAGATGAAAGCAAACCAGTTTGATAGCAATGTAACGAATTTTTGCGCATTTAGCTTCACTCTGTTGAGTAACGTATATTTATGTATTTTTTTCACCCAACAAGAATCTAAATATCAAAATTTCGACAAATTCTGGAATAGGCGGAGTCCATATGTGTACATCGCAACACATCTCAATCGCAACAATGCAATATTCCCCAGTAAACACAAACATCCCTGGGATGTCAAATTCATGCCTCGCTAGGTAACAATGCGAGTTACAACAAAACATCATTGGTATTACCAGGAGACTCTTTATTTCACAAAACATTCGCAATATTCGTCACATTTTATTAAATTTGAGACCTGAAATGTTGTTCAATTCATGAGTCTCCCTAACAACCAAGAGACTCACTGAAACCTCACATCCTTGTCTATTTAAGTAACGAACGGAATAAATCAATTTTGATGTTGAATGAGGAGTCGCTTAATACGTACTGTGATTTTCATTTGGCATCATAATGAGAATCATAAAATGACCAAAAGGGTCCGAAATAGCAGTCATTGTGATTTCACTAGGCCTCTCATTTCGAGGCACAGCAGATGTGATGTGTGGCATGAATGTGATGCCCTCTTACATCTCCGGGATCAATCTGTGTTAACTGGGTCGTGACATCACACTGTTGATGCCTCATCATGACATCTTAGGGATATATGTCGCAGATCTGTTTGCTTATGTACATCACATCGATGGAACCTTTATAATATTCCAGTGTTGCCTCATCGCGATATCTCAGAGATGTCATGTCTCATATATGTGTTTGCTGCTTCCACAGTTTAAGGAAATACCCATTCCTTAAACTGTGCTGCTTCGCAGCGATGGAACGTTTGTAATATCGCACATTTACCTAAATGCGACATATCAGAGATTTCATGTCACACATGTGTTGGCTGGAATCATCTATTGAAAAATAATTAAATCATTGGCGTATCTGGAATTTTTCTTGGGATCAGGCTCCCATCCCTATTATCACTCCACTGCCTATTGAATTTCGATACTGCATATGTTCTTTGAAATATTGAAATATCTCAAACGATTCATTTTTAAAAAATATTATGTTATTTTTATGATCATTTTGCAGAGATTTTTTTCAAACGAACACTCTGTTCAATTTACTTGGCTTGGCGTCCGTATTTTTGATTTTTTAAAGTATTTTTGGGGGATATCATTATCATCGCTGTGTAAGCCAATTTTTTATCTTATTTTTGGGCTTTCTGCTATGGGGTGGCCCCCCCGTAGTTACGCCAATGAATTTGGTATAACGTATCTACCTAATCAACGAAACATCTTTACTTTAGAATCATAGTTTGATCAATAATAAAGTTTCCTAAGAAAAGTATGAATGAAAACGTTATTGTATCCCTATCGTTCGAAATTGAGAAGGACTTATATGAACAGCTACAGCTAGAGGAGTCCTCTAGTGATATAAATGATTTGACGGACATTTTTGAGGAGTTCCACAGGAGTAGCTTTTTAAGGGCAAACGCCCATCCATCGAAGAAGTATCTTACAAAAAATGAAGCAGATTGGAAAACACGCGATAGCTTCAGCGATGAGTTCAAGAAGGTCATCGAAGAAACCAGAAAAGAGCTTGAGGTGAGTATATACAGCTAGGGCGTAATTTGATTGATGGATTTAAATAAAGGATATGGTTTCTTATTTGTTCCTAAGCTCATTTCATTAGGAAAATAATTTTGCTATGCCACGAATGCATGAAATGGTAATTTATTATACAAGGGAAAAAAGTAGTAGATTTTTTGCTCCAGGTTGTGGTGTCACCCGACGCGTATCGGAAGGAGACAAAACGAATCAATATTGAGAAGATATTACATTATTTTGAAATCTGAAAATTATCGACGTGAAATAAGTTTTTAACAGTAGGGACACCTGCGTTATTTATCATTCTTTTGGAGTAATCAAACATCTTATGTCACTTCTGTCAGTCTATAACCGCGAAGTCGAATGGAAGATAAAAGGACTTGCAGTTCTTTCTCGGAGACGGTATTATTGGCTCATTTTTCGGAACTATAGCACGAAAAAAGCCATCAACAGTGTATATACAGTGTGACCCACTTCTGATGAAAACATACCCCTGTATCTTACGTAATCGTTGAGTAAGGATCCTGAAATCTGATGGAGTGAGAGCTATACAAAAAATGCAGTCTATGACCGAGTGGGGTCATCTTCAGTGATATACATTGCTCGTCAACAGCCATGGAACCACCCCAATTTCCGGAAAATGATATTAGGAGTCAAAATTGGTAGAAAATCACTTCGGATTGGGAATCAGGACGCCCAGTTCACTAACTATTCATATTTTTCCTAGAAAATTATCAGTTCAGAAAAATTCGAATTCTGTCCCACTTCACATAGAAGCACCCTAGTATCTCACGTAATTTTTGAGGTAGGGTTCTGAAATTCGCAAGAGGGGTGTCCTGATTTTGAATCCGAAGTGATTTCCAATAACCTATCTTGCCTCCTTATATATCATTATTGTGGATGGTTCAATGGCTGTTGGCGAGCAGTGTATATCACTGCAGACGACTCTACTTGGTCATAGTGTGTATTTTCAGTATATCTACCGCTCTTGCAAATTTCAGGCTCCTAACTCAACAATTACGAAAAATACATGAGTGCTTCCATTATAAGTGAGACACACTGTATAAAAGTCATCTTGAGTCAATACTGATCTCTATATCTCTTCATCTGAAGTTCAAGCTTCAAAATGAGCCTGAGATTTCAAAAATCGGTGGACGAGGAAAAAAGTAATGACTGCAAAACCAAAAAGTTAATTTTTTGAGGTCACTCTCTAAATTAAAGAGGTAAGGAGACAATTCGAGAACTGTCCCAAGATAATAAGATCATCTACATGCCTCTACTATCAAAGTTGAAAAAAGAGAGTTTTTCTTCATTTGGGATACTTTTGAAAATTCCGAAATTTTGCACAGTTTCAGGCAACACCCTGTAACGATTTTATGTGAAGAACCTTATGTTTCAGTGACTTACGAGATTATAGCTAGGCTAGCGAACAGTGTGATCCGAATTTAAATCGTTCAAGCAGAAAAAAATTATTCATATTTCAACAAAGGCAAAATTTTGGGGTGCGACGAAATAAGTGTTGCCTAGTTTTTAGTAAGCGAAACACTTTTCGAGGCGTAAAAAGTAAAAAATCGGTTTGGTTAGCGTTGAAACAGTGCGTAGTGTATTTCTATTTTGTTGGAAATAGGTTACTTTTATGTTTACTAGAAGTACATAATGTTTTGACGTCATAGGTTCATTTCATTATCATATCATTCATATCCTTTATTTTGAGCCGCCAATTAAATTACACCCTGTATAAGTAGGTATAGTTTATCCAAAGCCATGGCAGGCGTCATTTTAGTAAATACCAGGGGGGGTCAAGAAACTCAGACCAAATTTTCGTAAGGGTCAAATGCCTTCAAATTGAAAATTTGATTTCTTTCAGAGTATTAACAACTCCATCACCTCATTATATAATAAATTATTCAGTTTATTCATGTTCTCGGTTTCTTGTAATTGGTATAAAATACTCTGAAGATGGG